ACTAAACATCCTACAGTGTTTTTACAGTCTTTATTTTACAGTTAAAATAAAAGTTTATCAAATAAAGTCTAATGTTACAACTAATCATGGATCCCTTTTAATAAACTTGGCACATAAAGTAAGGATATTTGTGTTTGGTAGATTGTTTCTTTGTAACAAAGCTTCTTGGTAATAAATCTTATAGCGGGCACCAATAGAACRAGCTATTTATGTGTGTAACCCATAAATGCATGTTCCTTACAAATGTGGCTCTGTTTAAACAGGAAATTAACATTTTCCCAACAATATAAGATTTRTTTCCCAGAAGCCTTGTAACAAAGAAAATATCTACGAAACACTTATTTCCTTACTTTTTGTGCCGTGTGTGTGTGTGTGTGTGTGTGTGTGTGTGTGTGTGTGTGTGTGTGAAAGGTCAAGTGTTTCCTAAAAGGGTCTGATTTTTCACTTGAATCAACACTGTGTGGTAAACTGGTGACATGACTGATTCCTGCTTTGATGCACTTCTTGTTTGGGAGTAAACGATGTGGTTTATCCTCCTCACTGCACGACTAACATTTTAACCCATCAGAGTTTTTATTTGCACWCGTCAGATTTTCTCTTTTCCTCCATGTTGCTTTAAGGGACCTGGCTCCTTCCTAGTGTCGCCAATCAGAGACTCCTCCATGCTTCAAGGACCTCCGCCGGACCCGCTACTGCCCCCCGGCGTGCGTCTGCCACTACCCGGACCTTACAGATTGCCGAGACCGGGCCCTTACCAGCTCCCACCCGGTCCTCTTCCTCCAAACGTACCTCCTCCGTACCACGGTCCACCTCTGCCAGTCAACGGACACCCAGGTCTGCCCSSACCTGGACCCATGGGGGGAGAGTTTGGACCTCGACCCGCCAATGGACTTGTATTCCACCCCAGACCGGGCCCTGGACCAATAATTGATCCTCGGGGTCCTCCACTGCCACACTTCCGTCCCCCTCCACCTCATTTTGGACCAGTGCCACCACCTGGTACGTTTCAGTCCTGATGGTTATTCTCATTTTCTGTTTATTTTAAAGAAAATAATTTCAGATTTCGGTGAATTTTCTTTTATGAAGCAACAAAATGTAGAACCGTAAGCTGGTCTGAGTCATTTCCTGTTGTTTCTTTAAATATTACGTACGACAGGGTTCCTGCGGGTCCTTAAAAACTCTTAAAAGTCATTTAATTCATCAATCCAAAAATAAGGCCTTAATTAGCCTTAAAATGTCTTTAATCAGTCTGTGAATACATTATAAACAGGATGATTGTAATTCATCTCAAATATTAAAATAATTGGTAAAAATATTTTTTTTAAATATTCACATGCAGACATTCCCCTTTGACATCACTTCCTGTTACTTAGATGCAAATATCTCAACAACCGTCCATCTGATCAATGTGAAATTCATTTTGTAACATGTTAATGTTGTCATTTCAAAAACGCATTAACTGTTCTTACAAATTTTGATGTCACAGACACTTAAGGTTTTATCTACAGCAGATTGGGGTTAAGACCCCACTGTGGGTCCTAAAACTCCAGATTTTGGGTCGTTAAACTGACTGCTAATAATGTTTCTGCTACAGTTAGATCTGGATAAAAACAGTTGGTCTATTAGCAATATTTGAATACTTCAACCAAAAATACTTTGATTCATGAGTTTCTGCTAAAGTTTTATTTATTTATTTATTTGTCGTTTGTGTTTATAATGAAATTGGTGTTAAATTTAATTTCAGTTGGCATTAAAAAGTCTTAAATTCAACTTGCTTTAACCTGTAGGAACCCTGTACGTAAAAACATTTTTTTTTATCCCGCTCAGGTGTCCGTGGGCCTGCGGGACCTCGACCACCCGTCCCGCCTGATRTGCGCTTCCCAGGGCCACGAGACCACACGGGCCCCCCGGTGGACCCGCCCCATCCTGGCGACGCGTACAGCCAGGCCGCGCCCAACGCCGTCCAGAACTCAGCGGGCCCCCAGAGCGGCCCCGGTCAGGACCTGCACACGAGGCAGGAGCCCACTCAGGACTCTGCGAGGCCAGCGTTGGTCAAGCCTTAAAAACCCCACCAGCTGCAGCGAAGGAATCAAACCCACCTGCACCTCTGAACGAACAGGATGAACCAGAGCAAGTCCAAAATTAGGTCATGATTTTCATCTTTTTATTTTTATTAAACACAAACCAGGTCTTTAAAGAATCAGTCCGTTCAGTCTGTTGCCAGTTTTCTTAACAGCTTATTGTGCAAGAACACTTCAGTTGTGCTAAATCTAAAAAAAATATATATAAAGCAAAAGATTTTTTTAATGACGTATTCTGTGGAAATGATTTAACAGCAAAAGAAAAAAGGGTTTTAAGTTCTATCATTTCAAGAGTTGCTTCAACACAAACTGTAATGTGTCATTTGAAGGGCAGATGTATAATTTATTTTACTACGTAAACAGAAACTTTTAATAATAAAGAATGTAAACATGTCATTGACCGGCGGATGTGCTTCATATACACCCTGAGGCCTTCCAGAGGAAAGGACAGGAAATTACCTGTGAGATGATGCAGATTTAATGAGCTGTTGTTGGGACAGGCAGCGAAACTTTCACCACTTTTCAAGAACTATTAAAACTCAACAAACCCCTTTTATCCCACTCAGGTTTAAAATTGTAATTTACCGAAAATATGACTTCACTGTTGTCCAAAAACTGCCTTTTGTTAGCCACTAGCTACATATTTTAGCTAATTTTAAGAGTAAGTTTATACTGAGGACCGACACTGACGTAATTATAAATAAAAGCAGAAATATATAAATGGATCAATAAACAAATAAACTTAAAATGCACCAGTTAAACTTTAGTTTACAACAAAAGCAAGCACTTCCTGTGTCTTGGTTTTAAATTAAACTGAGGATCCATACAGATCTGCACATAGATCCTGCTACTTCCTGTCTGTTGACCAATAGAAGAGCTGACCCAAGAAGCTCCGCCCACCTTGTTTGAATAATGCGACAGAAAGGCATAAGGCAAAGTAAAAACAGGAGACAGAAATGTAAAAACACATGGAAATAAATTAAAAAGGAAAAATAAAAATTTAAAACAGTAAAATGTAAATTATGTTCTAAATATGTAATTTATTGGACTAATGTGAAAAAAATATGAAGGTCAATTAGATAAAACATGAGGTAAAGTACTTTTTATTTAATTGGTGCATTTTAAGTGTATATTTCTTTATTGGTCCTTTTCTATAATTATGCTTTTATTTGTAATTGCCATTTTCTGTCCTCCATAAGTTTACTGATTTAACTTTTATTACATTAGGATGAATTAACTTTATTGTTTCTCAGGTTTGAGAAATGACAACAGGCTGTAAAATGGATGCAAAACGATTTAATTTATAATTTCTGCTTTTTAGATGAATGATACAAAATACATAACGAAAATGAGAAAAATCAACTCAGTGCTACATGTAGATGTCTGAAATACGACGTTCTGGAATAAATTAAAGCATTTTTTATTAGAAAAATGTTTGATTCAATCACAACAAATTAAGTCAACGTGTCATTTCCTGTTTTAGGTTTTCTGATGTTACAGAAAAAGCCGATCGCCTTATGATGTTTAAAAATAACATTTTGACTATTTCTGTTCATTTGTCAGGACAGATACACCTTGAACAGAATGCAAAGAATCACTAAAATATATATATTTTAAAATCAGAACGATGTAACGTCTGAAGCAGTCAACACTGATTTTCTGCTTCAGATCATATAACAGGATGTGAAAAGCATTAATACTGAAAAAGGACATAAAATTCATCATGTGGTTATTTTTTATGACATTTACTGAGTATTTAAATACTTAAAAGTTCTGTTACAGTATAATTTTACTTCCCAACTTATTAAATCATACATAAAAAAATATGATTCAAACCCAAAGTGAACCAGTAAGAAGTGCTGAGTCGCTGCTTTTTTAAAGTTTTACGGTTTGAACAATAAAGATGGCTCTTTTTTTACCCTTTGTGAGCTTATTTGATCAGTTTATAAATTACAAAAAGGAAAAAAAAAGCTGAAGATGGAACAAAAATGTAAAAGAAATTAAAAATAAAATGTGCAAATACAGGTAAACAACAAGCTACAACTCAACGCTGAATTCCAGTTAAAATGTTGATTCGTGAGGCAACAGATTTAAAATAATTTTATGTTTTTAATCCTGCTTGAAATGTTTACACATCGTTCGTACGGCAGAAATAAGTCTTTTGAGACAGTGTTTACTCTTTTATTAGTCAGTCCCAGGTCCTCTGTTAACMCTTTAACCCCCAGCCTTTAGTGTTTAACAGTTTTCCATTAGATAACATTCACCCCACAAAACTGTCAACCATTAATAACAAACTTCCTTCATTTGTAACAAAAGTGCAAAAAAAAATCATGATTTTTTTTTTTCCAAAACGATGGGATTAAGGAGTTAATGTTTTGCTGGTTTTTATTCAAAAGTCCAGAGTCCAGTGGCACAAACACAAGCTTCAAATCCCAGAAATCTGTAAATGTGGAAGACTGAACATGAGGTGATTTTAAACTGATTTAATGCTACTTCATTTAAAAAATAAGTGTGTAAGGTTTTTGAGTTTCAACCGAAACAAAAAGCACTTAAATATMAAAGAAATAAAACTCTGAGCTGATGTGACAAACATCTGGATCAGTTTCTTCATGATGAATCCCACAGCCTTGATTTGGTATTGCTGGACGTCATGAAGAGGATGAGGAGGATGAGCGTTTTTTTTTTTTTTTTTTTGGCTTTACGGGATTCAAAGAGGCGACCGGAGTCGGGATCTTAGCTGTCTTTGTGTAGCGTCTGATGGAGGTGGAGATAAAGTGGTTTCTTTGTGAGAAGCTGCAGCTTCTTCCTCTTTAAGTCAGTCGGCTTCTTGTAGCTGAAACCCAACAAGGATGTAGGTTTTACTTTGTGACCCTGCTCATAAAATAAACAAACAAAAACAAACACTCACAGTTCAATCACGATGGGTCCAGGTTTGATCTCATCCATTTCCATGAAGGCGAAACATTTTGTGCTGGTGAACCTCTTTTTGGGCTTGTAGTGCTTAAATTCAAAGAAGATGGCTGCTCCTGGAGCGTAAACAACAACGTCGACGTTAAAGGAAGCCGTTCAGATGTTTAAAAAATAAACAAATAAAGCTATTACCTTTTGGTAGTTTCTCTACGTGTCTCTGAATCTCTACRTCCACGCTGAAGTGGATGTAGGTGTCTTCCTTTCGGCTAGCCACAGGGGTGTCCTGGACCGGGTTCACATCCACGCCGTTCACATCTGAAGGCAGAAAACACACAAATGTTGTTGAGGCGAAGACACAACATGTTTCTGAAACACAAATCACATCAAAGGACAGGACGAGAAACAAATCTGTTAGTGCTAGCTGTACGCAAAGTAGCAAAACTATTTAAATTAGCAAAAGGCTAGTTAGAACAATAAGCTAGTTAAAAGATAAAAGCAGCAAAATGCTAGCTAAAGCTATTAGAGCAGTAGCTAAAATGACAAAAAGCTAGCTTGAACTGCTAAAAGCTAGAAGGAGCAAAATACTAAGACGAATCCTCAAAGCTAGCTAAAAGCTAAATTGTAATACTTTTACTACAGCGATAAGCAGCAAGAGTAAAACTAAAAAAGCTAGCTATAAAGTATCAAAACGCTAAAAGTGACAAAAAGCTTTAAGAGACTAGTAGAACGGCAGCTAGAAGTTGAAATACCAAAAAACGTTTACTAAAAGTTATAAGTAGCAAAAGACAAACAAAAAACTAGCTATAAGATGAAGTATCAAAAGACTAGCTACAAGCTAGAAGTAGCAAAAGGCTAGCTAGAAGTGACAAGTTGCAGAACAGTAGCTAAAAGCTAAAAATTGCAACAAGTTTATTAAAAAGTTATAAGTACCAAAAGAGTAAATGTAACAAAGAGCTAAAATAAAGTATCACAATGCTAGCTAAGTGGAAAAAGGCTATTTTAAAAGGTAACAAGTAGCACAACAGTAGCTAAAAACTAAAGTTACAAAAACTACAAAAGACTAAAAGTAACAAAGAGCTAAAATGAAGAATCAAAAGGCAGCTACAAGCTAGCAGTAGCAAAAAGCTAGCTAGAAGTGATGTCGCAGAACAGTAGCGAAAAGCTAAAAATTGCAAAAGGTTTATTAAAAAGTTGTAAGTAGCAAAAGACTAAAACAAAAAGCTAGCTTTAAGATGAAGTATCAAAAGGCTAGCTAAGTGGAAAAAGGTTATTTTGAGGTGACAATTAGCCTAAAAGCTTAAGTTCCAAAAACTACTATAATCTTTAAGCAACAAGACTAAAAGTAACTAAAAGCCAGCTATAAAAAAGTTTTAAAGACTAGCTACACGTGGCAAAAAACTCTCAAAGCGACAACTAGCCAAACAGTAGCTAAAAATTAGCTAAAGGCTAACTGAACGCTACCGAATCATCATGAAACGTAAAGTCTAACAGGCTGTTTAAAACATCTTCTGGACCTTTGACGCTGATGGTGATGTAAGGATCGATGCACTGGCCGGCGTCCTTCAAACCAATCTTTTCTATCTTTATCGTGAGCAGCGTCATCCCAGGTTCTGAGGGCAGCCGAGGTAACAGGGTCCCTAAAAGGACAAAGAGGACACGTGAGTCAGGGCGTCTTTATGGTTCAAGAGTAGCCAACAAGTGTTTCTGTCACTTTGACTCATCAGCTGATGTTTTCCTGTTAAGATGAACAGTTTATAAAGCTACATTTCTTCATTAATAAAGCAGCTTTTGATTTATTTTGGTTCTTTAAAAGCTCAGAATATGATGTGTTGATCATGTTAGCAAACCAGTTTACATCCATTTTACGACAGGTTTCTTCCGGCTTTTTGTCACAACCAACTCCTAAACACAACAAGCAGCATTTTAGTTTAATTTAATATGAAAAATGGTTCAATGATGCTTCAAAAAAACTCACAGGTGCACGGTTACCTTAATCGTTTTAAGACAAAAACATGATGCTAAATATGGGGCGAGCCTCCATTAGCATCACGCTAACACCACAGAAACACTTTTCCAACATGAAATAAAAAACATTGATGCTAATTTTTAGCTTTTTTATTTTAATTTGTCACCGTTTCTTTGGAAAATAAGTTCTCTTTGAAAAAAATTTTTTTTTTACTAATTTAAATACATTTTTTAGGGAGGGGTAACCAATGCGTAACTGTTAGCTTTGCAGAGCGTTAGCACTGTAAAGCTAACAGGAAGTACAAGGAAAACCAGGTGGATTCGATTATTTTTAATATTTTCTATCTTTAAATTAAAACTTTTAATTTCTGCCTTTATATATTGATTACCAGCTTGACCATAAAACCATTAAAAATAAAAACAGATTATTTTGGTTCTTTAGCTTTTAGCATGCATCAAAACTTATTTTCTAAGTTCTGACTGCTAATATTTTTAAAAGGTAAACATCAACTAACAGAAGTTATAAACGTATATTTTAAAGTTTTTTTAAAGTATAAACTCCTCCTTGAACAAAGCCGAGCAGTTTAAGTGTAAAATTGTAAATAATTCATTTGAACTCCAGTCAAGAAAAACATTTTCAGTCACGTTTTGTCAGATCAACAGGTTCTGATAATAAAAAAAACCATCAGAGGATAAAATCTGACGTTGTGTGCAGATAAATCTGTACCTTGAAGCTGAGAACAGAAACACAAAACAACGGGACAAAAACACACGGGACGGAGCCCGACGCTAACGGTTCAAAGGCTCAGCGTACCGGGAGCCCTCGGCGGGAACGCCTCCGCCGCGCCGGCTCCTGCTGCAGCATCCTCCTCTTCCTCCAGCTCCAGGTTCTCCTCCTCGCCAGGAGCGAGGATTTTCCTGACGGAGGAAAGATCAAGTTATCTAAAATAAAAATAACAAATAAAACCTGATTGATTTAGAGGTTTGAAAAGCAGAAAGAAAAAGAAAAAAACAGAGGCGGTGGTGAAAATTTACCTCAGCGGTACCGGCTGGACGTCAAAGGGGAACTCTTTGTTGTAGGTGAGGATGTTCTTTATTACTGTCGATAAATAAATAAAAATAAAGAGGTTGATGAAAATTCAACAGAAACTCCCGTAAACCAGTGAAAACTCAGAAAACTCACTGGCTTCCAGTTTCTTCAGGTCTTCTAACTTGAACTCCTCCTTTGACTGCGTGCACTGAAACACACACATAAAAATAAATAAGAAATTGAAATGTGCAAACAGATAAAAACGCGCATTGAACGCAAAAACTGCAACAATAAAACCAGATTAGAGAGCAATAATATTAGAAATAGACGTTCAAGCTATAAATAAAACAGATGGTTTTATGTTGAGGAACGATGAAGTTGTAGGCTCTTTGCCACCAAGTTTTACTGATTGTATTTTATTTACTTATTTATTAACTAACATCAATTAGCTTTCGTACAAGTAAAAGAAACACACAAACCTGCAAACTGGCACTTCTCATCTCCAGACATGTTGCAATCTTTCCTAAGGTTTTCTTTAAATAAATTTAAAAAGAGAGAGAGAGAAAACACAAAAACATATGATTTGAAACAAAGCAGCATTTATTTATTTATTTATTTACTTATTTAAGTCATCGACAGATAAAACTGTTACCTTCTGCTCTTCTGTGAAGTCGGGGGAATTCKTTGACTGGACTTCTTTCTGCAGCTGTCGGGCTAAACTAATAAACACAGACGGATTAATGAGACGCTTCAAAAGGTTTGAGGTCCTGAAAAAGACCGACGCTGTCTGCACTTCAGTCCCCCTTCGTGTCAGCAGTGAGGGTCTTTAAATTCAAAATTTATAAGCWAAAATTGGGTCCGGCTGCCAACCGAGACGTGCGTTTGTTCGCTTACAAAAACAGCCGAAGTGACTGAAAACAGCTCAGCGGTGATGCCGTTCATAGAAGAGCTGTTTGGGTTTGAGCAGTCCAACAATTTTATTATGTTTACATTCAGATTTGTTGTATAAAGCAGAGGTTCTCAAACTGGGGTCCCGGGACCCCCAGGGGTCGGCGAGCTGTAACATGGGGGTCCACAAAAACATATAATAAATTATTAACTAAAGCGTTGGCATTTTCTGCAAAAATGCAGCGTTAAAGCAGAATGATTTTTACAGAAAAACTATTTAAAATGGTATAAAAATTGGTTGTAAAACAGCCAAAAAAAGAGCTGAAATTAGCAGGAAAAACAACTTAAAAAGTAGCTGAAAAGCTGAATCTAGCACAAAGAAGCAGAACGAGCACGTTTGCTGAATTAAGCAGTAAAAAGCTGAAATTATCACAAATAGCTAAAAAGTGGCACACACATTTTTTAGCAGAATAGCTTAAAAGAGCAGAAAGAAGCTAAAACTGTCAAAAAAGAAGCTAAAATTAGCATAAAGAATATAAAAAGCAGAAGAAAAGGTGAAAATTGCAGGAATAGTTCAAGTATTTTGAAGCACAACTCCATTCATTTAACGTAAACAATGCCAGAAAAAGTTAAAAAGTACCAAATAACAAAAGTCACTGCCTGAATGTGCTGAAACAGCTAAAAGTTTTGATACATAAATTGTTTAAAAAAAGACCAAAAATCTATAAAAATGCACTGTTTGATATAGTTTAGGATAAACTTAAACGTCTGATAAGTTTCAGTGTTGTATACAGTACCTCAAAGTGATACTTGAGTAAAAGTACAAGTATCTTATCATAAAAATACTTTGGTAAAAGATAAAGTCTCCTCTAAAAATATTACCTGAGTAAAAGTCTTAAAGTATCTGATATTTTTTGTACTTAAGTATCAAAAGTAAATTTCTGACACAAAATCTACTTAAGTATTAAAAGTAAAAGTACTGAGTAAAAGTGAGCAGTTAGATTTTCCAAAATGACATTTATTGGGAGGTGACTTCTCCAAAAACTATATTTTCTAACAGCGTGCAGCTGTGATGGGTTGTGTACAAGCTAATAGTGTGTCAGAATGGTATATATTTATACTTCTCATCCAAACACAATTAAATTCACTCTATCCAGGAGACACAGTTTATCAGGAGAGGATTTTTTAAGTAATAACTCAGAATAAAACTGGAGTAACAACTTTCTACTTCTTACCTTTTTTAAAAATGTAGTGAGTAGTAAGTACAGATAATTGTGTAAAAATGTAATGAGTAAAAGTAAAAAGTACGCTGAAAAATAATTACTCAAGTAAAGTACAGATAAGCAAAATTTCTACTTAAGTACAGTAACAAAGTATTTGTACTTAGTTAYTTTATAACTGACAGGTTTGCAGTATTTAAAGGTTGTCACAGTGAGCTGTTCTGCGCCCCCTTCTGGTCAAAAAGATAATTGATTTATCTTCTTTTCAACATGAGATTCAAACTGTATTTTCAGACATGAATCTTCAGGAAGGAGCTGATCACATCCTGAAAGAACCTGCACAGAGCCTGACCCCCCTGTGAGCAGCACAAAGCTGAAGCCCACCATAACAATGAGAGGGTGGGGCTGACTCTTTCCCAACACTCACAGGGACACACTGGCTCCTTTTTCACGCTGTGAAACGCAAAACACGCAGCTCCGGATGGGTTTTATCCGTGGATGAAAATCCTAAAAGGCTGCCTCTGCAGCAGATGCCAGCCCACGTCACGGACAGGGAGTTTATTTCCTGCTGTGAGAGATGACAGCTAACTCCTGGAGAAACCCTCATCAGGCTCAGGAGCACAAAACAAGCCGCCCCCTCCCTATGATGAAACTATGATGATCTCAGAAAAAATATAAAATATGTTTAAAAAAAAGAGACACAGTGAACTTACATTTGGTACTCATCTATAGCCTCCACTATCTGTCCCCACGAGTCAAAGTCTGTGCCTTTCTTAAAGCTGGCGTGCCATTTCTGAACAGTCTTGTTGACATCAGACATTTTGGCGGGGCGGATACTCGCGGCGCTCTCAGGGCAGCATAGCCGGGGAGGAGATTCATCTACGTGGGGCTTTCGGCGGTGGCAGCAGCGTCGTCAAAAAAAAAAGCCCCCGCGGGCTAGCCTGCAGTCCAGAGACGCACACGGATAAAAAAACCGGTGACACCCTTGACCAAGCCCTGTCTGCCTGCTCCAACTCTGATACATCCGCCGCAGACCGGAAGTCCCGCCCGCCCGGCCCGGAGCGCACACACAGGGTGCGCTCGTTTTACGACGCGAGGTCGCCCGGCAAGCGCGGGCTCGAGTCTGAGGAGCAAACTGCGACACTTTTATTTTCATTTTCCACACTTGATGTGTATGGAAGCCCATTTCCGCCACCCTGATAAAAAACAAAACTTGTATTTCATTACCTATCTCATAATTATGAGTATCTCATAATTATGAGATAGGTAAGTCATAATTATGAGATACTATCTCATAATTATGAGATACTATCTCATAATTATGGACTTAGCTATCTCATAATTATGAGATACTATCTCATAATAATGAGATAGCTAAGTCATAATTATGAGATAGCTAAGTCATAATTATGAGATAGTATCTCATAATAATGACATAGCTAAGTCATAATTATGAGATACAAGTTTTATTTATTTTTTATCAGGGTGGCTGAAATGGGCTTCCATAAATATGCATAAATGACGTTTAAACTAAATACGGTTGTCAAGTCATGCAGCCTAGTTGATTAGTTGTTGAATTTTGTCACAAGTGGACCATTTGTTAGTTTGTTGTGAAGAGATGGACCTTTCTAATTTTAGACTATCACATCGTGATTTTGAATTTTTTGGATTAAACTAAACAAAATAATAAATGTGCAACTTTTAAAGAGGTAACTCGCTTTTCTGAACACATTTACAAGCAGCTTTACGTTCCCCGTTTCAGTAAACGAAGAACCGCGTGTCTAAAAAGCTTTTACTTTGAAAGCTAACTCGCCTTTTTCCGGTTTGCCCGCCCGGGTCTGTCCCACTGGAAGTGTTACACTGTTAGCAACTAGCAGCTAATATGTGACGCCGGAGAAGCAGCCCGACAGCGAGGAGTTTTAGCTGAAAGTGGCCTCTGGCAGCATGAGGTAACATGGACGGTGAAAGCACGGACCCGTGTGCGGCTGAGGAGGATGGATGTTCCGACGCGGAGGTTCTGTGTCTGATGAGAGTCGGAGGAAATTCTGGATGGCTCCGTTTGTTCGAGAACACAGAGGTGCAGTTTTGGTTGTTAAGCTAACGAATAACGCTAGCTCAATTTATAAACAACTAATAATCTCCACGTTATCGTAAAATATCTAATTCAACACTCAGATTAAACGCCTGTTTGATACAATGTGTATTTTTTCTCAACTTTATTTGTCAAAACAACATTTACAAGAAAGCATATGTCAGTTATGTACGAATACAAATCATGGAACAGTATAAATTACAGAACAGTAAGATTAATAATATAAAAAACGAAGCTAGATAAAACAAAAATTAAGTAAAAAAAATTAAACCAAGGGTTTAGGGGTCCATAAATACATTTAACAGTACAGATTTCAATAGTTTTAATAGCAAGTTTGTTGTCAGAGTTTTTAATTGTTTGAATGTAGTATTTAATTTTATTGTAAAAAGCAGTAAAACAAGGTTTCCTTTCAAAATATTTGGAACAGTGTATATGATATTTAGCTAAAACCAGTAATAGATTAATAAGAAATTCTGGATTGTTACAAGTGTAATTAGTGAGACCAAGTAAGACATATTCCCAGTAAAGAGAAAAATGTGTTTTTATATTATTGTGTGTGAAGTTACAAAGTTTTTGCCAAAATGATTTGACGAAGGGACAATGCCAAAATACAGTTAATGTCAAGTTCTTTCTTGAGTCTAGATTGTATGAAGGTTTTTGAAGGGAAGATTTTATGAATGATTTTATAGGTGACTTCTTTAATTTTGTTAGTTATTAAAAAATAGTTTGAAAGAGTCCAGACCTTTTCCCAGGATGTTTTATCCATAAAACAGTCCCAGTGTTTGATAATATCTGGTCGTGTTCGTAGTTCCTTCTGAAAACGAGAACGTATTAATTTATTGTTTTTACTCATTTGACCATTTAAGCAGATTTTCCCTATAGTATTCATTTCTGGGGATGCAATAGAGAGGTTATGTTCGTCAATCCTTGTATGTCCTTTAAATCAGTGGTTCCCAAACGTTTTATCTTCTGACCCACAAAGTGTCCAGGGCAAAAACTTGTGACCCCAAATATTACTGG